TTTATTGTTCATAGTTGACTTTATTAAGTAGAATCATGACTCTCAGCCGGATTTGTTGGGTCATGTTAGTGCATAGTACTATGAGCGAATGGCTTTGGATCTTCAAATATCATCTTCATGTGCTTACATCACGAGGATACACCAGGAGCACAAAATTGAATAATAACACTTTTTGTTACCGACTCACACACCTGCTTCTATAGTGAGCGCCTGAGCTTCTTTGCAATGAAGGATCACGGCCAGGAGGGGCTATGTTGTTGCCCCTATTGAATCTGACTAGAAATATCGTATCATGAAATGTGAATGATAAGTCGGAGTCCATGTTCAGACGTCGTCGTATCGACACTTTTGACTATCGGACAAGGCCCACACACAGTAAACTGATAGTAAAAAAAAATACTGTCCCTCCCTGCGGTGTATTCAATATGGGTTGGGAGGGACAGTATTTTTTTTTACCATCGCTGTGATAGCCAACTCCCGCACCCCGTCTTTTATCTACGCCCCTCGCCCTTAAGGTGATCGTGACGAACGTCCATGTACTTCGTTGCCTTCTTGATATCTCCCAGGTTCTTGGGATGCCCGATGCTGCTTCTCGTTTCATCGTCCAAGCCGTGGCACAGGGCCCCATAAATCGACTCTTTCCAGACCCCCACTGCTGGCCTAGGTCTCAGGATGATATAGAGTAAGTAGGCCAGGCCCATAAACTTGATGCCGAACAGAACTGTCAGCCATTCCCAGCGAGCAACCAGGATTGTCTCACGTAGGACCTAGCTCCCCGTTACCCTCTCTTTGGTCCTCGCATAATTCTGGTTGTTGAGCGCTGTAGTTAAAGTTGTCATAATGGAAGGAAGCGTTTGGCGGGCAAGTCGGCCGCCAAGTTGCGTCTGGACCACATCCTCTTCCGGGACTATCCACCATTTCTCCCATTCAGCTTCGGTCGTGGCCCAAGACCTGTTGGTTTCTGGGCCTGCCTCGTTTGTGTACTTTACCGTGCGGTAAACCAGGGGAATGATTCGGCTCAGCATCGCGCGGTTGGATAAGACAGTTGCGTTCCATAAGCAGAAAGCCCCTGTTGAGTTTGTATCTGCTTGATATTTGAGGCTGTTGTCATCTGGAGATAAATCCTTCGAAAATGATCCAGTCGGCTCCGTCATGAGCACTCGAGCCATAGTCGCGTTGTCGTTGATGACATCTTCTGGTGCCCAATACGAGGCATTGCCCCTCTGATGATCCTTCAAAAACTCCTCTAGAACCACGTCCTCCCAAGCTGGCTGAAGATACTTCTTTGATTTGATAATAGAAGAAGTTGTGCCGTTCACTACGCTCATCTTGTGCTCAACCTGGCAGAGAGATAGTGCAGACCACTCTGTCATGCGGACAGGCTAGTTCACCGTGCAAG